GGAGAGGTTGGCCTGGTGCAGAGCAAGGCAGAACTTGTGCCCAATAATGCATAATTTCATTTGATAAACACGTTTAGATTGAATGGTAATTTATAATCAGTCACAAGAACGTCGAATCTGAATCACTTGAAAAAAACACGGGGGTGCTTAACTTTTTTCCAGGTGTATATAAACCAAAAAATGCAATGGAGATGTGACTAAACATTTAGAGATATTGAGAAAAAATAAAAGGGTGACCTTAAATTAAAAGGACTGAAAAATCATGATAATTAACTTGAGAAAAAAACAAACTGAAGAGCAAGACCACCAATTAAAAGTATTACTATTATGTTTGAGTGTAATGTACCTAAAACATTTACATAATGAACTGCAGTTCTGTTGAACTTATTTGTACATAGAGTCAAGTTTCTTTACTGTATCTGTTCAAAAGTTTCTCTTTCCCAGGTTCTCTGTTCATTAATTAGTTACCAAGAGAACACTTAGACTTTGACAAACAAAACCAGAACATAAGAGTACAAAAGATAAATGATTGTTAGATATATGCAACCATTTCAACTTACGTTCAATGTGAGCATTAAATTTAGTTATTTAGAAATGATACTTTATTGCAGGTTTGTTTATGTAAGTGTGTATGAATTACACATTGTGTAGTTCAAGTATTGTGTATTGGCATATGTTATATTATTGCATCATGTTACTAAAATCTTACAAGTTTTTCTTATTGTTCTGATTAAGTATTATTGCATCATACTATCTGGTAGTGTGTACAACATCCTAGGCCTCAGTCAGGCTATAAATATGTGTCAAAATGTAGTTCAAGTTAGTAAGACATAGATAGATAGATCTTGATGAGTTATTGTGAGTATAGCCATAAAGAGTGTATAGTGGCATTTTTTAAAGTGAGATTATCACTGATTGTATTGTAATAACAGAGAATAATTTATCAAATTGTGTTGTAAAGTAACTGAACCAGCCTGTGTGGACTTTGACAAAAAAAAAGAGCTCTGGATACAACTGTGATAACCAACAGTGTAACAAACATTTGTATATATGTTTGACTTGTTTTAATATATTATTTTAAAACAAGTGGACTGTGTGCCGTTTGTTTATTGTTGAAATTTATCGCCAACAAGTCACAGATACCTACTATAAAGAATCTGGCCCATACATATATATATAAAACGACCTGACAATGATTAAACCAATAGCAATGCAAAGTATTCTAACCAGTTGGGGAGTCCGTTTGTAGTGAAATAGCTGAGGAAAAAATGTAGGAACCTGTTGAACATCCCAATCCTGGTGACCACTATGGAGTGGCAAGTTCTGCAAATACTGGTAAAAATGAGTGTAAGCTGGGCAGGCTACATCCATGACATCAAGGCTGAAGTTGATTCTGTGTTGGAACTAAGAATGTTTAATCCACATAAAGTAAAAAGGTTGTGCACATATTCTTTTCCAATAATATCAAAATATAAAAACCTTTGTAGATGAATAACTGATTGCTTCTCTTATCACATTGTAATTTCTAAATGTTTATAAATCAAATATTTTGTTTACCATCCTAATACCCTTATTGTTTTATTGGTTACTTTAAAACATATTAAAATGTTTATTAAAAAAAAATTCACAGACCTTTTTTCTAGGGAAATATACAAAACTTTAGATGGAGGCTGAAGCATAAGCCTTATGACAGTTTCAAAAAATGCATCAGTCAGATTGTCATCATAAATCACTAAAGGAATGAAAAATTTTATCTCAATGATAAAGACCTTTTTAACCCTTTCTTTATTATCAGTAGGTAAATATATATCCATGAAAGGTAATGGATATTTGATACATGCTTATCTTAATTACAAAAACCTTTTTATTTCATTTCTGGAAGTTTTTAACAGTAAACAATTATATATTCCTGTATACTTGTGTCAAAGTAATTATACAAGTATTTCTTGAACTAATTTTTAACTTATTAATGCTCTTTACCTAACTGAATTCTATAGCCTGTTTATTATTTCAGGTAACAGAACACTTTCAAAAGGTTAAAACACCATTGTTCTCATTACTAATTCAGTATTACCAATATTCCAGGGAATACAACATATTTTAAAAGGAATGTAACTATTACCATAATTAATGTATCATTTCAAAAAACACAACCTTTAAAGAATGCAACAATCATTATGACTTCTATGTTATTCCATAAAACTATTTTAAACAGAGGAGAAAAACACTGATTATAGTATTGTTTCAGGAATACAATACTCCTTAAATAGGTAAAAAAGCTGTAATTATAACTACATTATTATCATTGTCCTACAAGACACAACAAACAATATCAGACAATAAAAATTACCATTATCAATTGAAAAATAACATCAGTAATTCATAAAACATGATATTCATTACTAAATTAAGATTTAAAGCACAACTATTACAGTACCTATATATATCTGTTGAAGTTAAAGCCATAGGCAGAAAGTGATTAAACAACTTTTTTTAAGTGTCCATAACTCTCTAGTATCTTGTCATTACCTATACATGCATGAATCCACAAGGGAAAATCTCAGGAAGATCCACAAATATAACCATTGATTTGACTACAGCATTAAAATATTTCAGAATACACAACTTTAACAAGCTTTGAATGAACACAGCTATTCTTAACTAGGTATTAAATACAAGTTCTCACAAAAAACCAGTTTCAATCAACACAATACTCTTTAACATGATATACAACACATAAGTTATAATGCAATTGTAATACTGCTCTTACTAAACACAACATTCCTTTAGCTAAATATAAAACACAATGGTTATTTCAACAAACGTATTACCATTGTTTCACAGAACACAGCTTTCCAAAAAATATGTAAAACACATCTACAATAACAAAAGTATTACCAGTTTTTCCAAAACCAAAGCTTCAGTTAACTAGATATAAAACATGACAGAAGCATCCAAACTTTTATAACACCCTACTTTAAATAGATATATATCACTATAATTATCATGATCAACATACTACCAATGTTTAAAGAACACAACTTTTTACGTGTTTGAAATTTAACTGCATTTAAACTTCTTGTTATCTAATAGTAAGAGTGCTTACAAAGCTACAAGGAGTATATTTTACGTATGTATTAGTAATATAGTATGGTTTAAGTATTACCAGGGGTGGGGTATGAATATCAATTAGAATTTCATTTTATATTTACTATTATGTCAACAAACATTAAAAAATTACAAGTAGTATAAAACGAGTCCCTTTTCATTCATAAAGACATTTATAAAAGCTAGAAAATATATTACCATCAGCTGCCAGAATTACATTGACCTTTTTCAAGTCATCCTTTTCCTGCATGGTCCAACCCCATGGGTCCTCTGTACATGTGAAAAATCTTAAACTAAGATTCTAATTGAAATATTAAACTCTTAAATTATACTTAGTATTCAAACTCATATACTATATATAACTTTTAATGTTTAGACAGTGTTACAAACACAAAAGTACACATTCTGTAAAAGGTTCTTTTTTTTAAATTGTTCTACAACTTCAATGCTTTTATTAAAATGACTGATTAAAGTCTACTCAAGAATATGATTTGAAAACATCTTCAGTGGCAGATTAAGGAATTGTATAATATGCAATACTGATTCAGATCTGAGGAGGAATCTAATTCAAAAACACAATTTCTTAGTTTGCTGTTAAAGATGTTTTAGAATCAGACCTTAATCAATCAATCAATATGTATATATACAGATACTCACATTAATTGTATACAATAAGCACACAGCTGATATTCAACTCATCTTTCTTCTGAGAGAGACAAACAACAAGTGTATATTTTCTTGACTTCATACATACACAATCTTTACCAAGTATATTCAGTGTAAAATTTTATTAGTACCTGATATTCTACATGTAACATTTTGCAAACTTATGGAGCTTATAAAGAGCATATGAAATTTACTTATAATAAAATGTGCACTTCAGATAATTTATTGTTCATTTTCAGTATATAGATAAAACATATTTTAAACTATAAACATCTTTTCTCAACACTTATTACCATCACATATGTGATTCACAGTACTTTAAATTAGTAAGGGGCTATTTGAGTCTGGTTTGTAAGGCTTATTCTCAAGCTTTTGTTATGGTTTTAAAATAATGTTTAGGCAGAAAAAACTTACTTGTATACAAATGTATTATAAAAAAATACAAAAATTGATTATATATTACAAAACAAACATTTAAATTATAAATCCTTTTATAAAATTATTTTTTATTTCTCAACTGGGTTATTTATTACAAAAAATATATATATATACCTCTTGTTAGAACAAAAACGATTTCCATTATGTGTATAAAAAGAAACTAATGATTTATGAGAAATTTATTTTTTAGTTTGTATGATGTTCTTCAAAGCAGGAAATACAAAAGAAAGGGGAAATGGGGCACTGAATGCAATATAGGAAACATTATATAACAACATATAACTAATAACCCGAAATCCAGCAAAAAATGACTATTCAGTAAAAAAAATGAAGTTGGGCCAAAGCAAAATTCCACAAATATGACCTTGGGAGCGAATATGTTAATATACTACAATTCTATTTATTATTGTAATTATACATTAAAAATGAATCCCAGTAAAAGTTATTAAACTTCCAATGTGACCAGTACAATAACTAAATTTTCTTTAGATATTTTAACATGTTAAATCAAGAAAGGTTCAAGTAAAGCTAAGTGTTTAACCATCACAAATATCATGATAAAAAATCAAGTTAATATTTAATTTAGAAATACATGATACCTTACCTAAATTAATCTCACATTCATGTTTAGTCCAGTCAAACCGCTTTACTATAACAGGACAAGATTTTTCACAGATGCTGTTCGACCTTTGAAAGTAACCCAGCAGATGCTTGTTCATCTCAACATTATTTTGACTGAACTCCAAAACATTATCTACAAAATCTGTAAGATTTAAAGTTTTTGTATTTAACTAACAATCAATTGAAGATGCAAAATATGTATTTTTTTGTTACAAATAATTGAAGTAAAAATGCAGACATGCTTGATGTAATCATCACTAAGTTGTACAGACTACATAAATGTAAAATAACACTGAACGTAAATCATTAGTCGGTAAAATAAATGTTTAATAACACATATAATGAACTAGTACACTATACAGAAAGATGTATTAAATAAAACTCACTATGACTAGTAGTTAATTAATATTAACTTTTGTTTATACATGTGCATTTTATGACACCTGTAATGAACTAGTGCACCATACATTGACATACATACCCCTCAGTAGTTTTGCATTTCAGTTTAATGTAATAATTTTTACATCTTTACAATTTTCATTTATGCTTCATTTGTTTAACAATTTTCTTTAAATTATGTTTTATAGCAAAATTATACAGTTAGTCTTTTCCAATAATTACTTGTTTTTGTATTTTTCATTTTACCATATGTACATTCCTAGTTTTCCATTTTAAACTGTATGGTGAAGTCACTTGAATGACACAACTAATTCAAATATTGTTAGTAAATTAACTGAACTTAATACACATATGTATATACAGAGATGTTCAACAAAAACTCACTACAAATTGGTAGAAGATACACACAGGGGCATACAGAGCAACTTATTAAAAGATTAGTGCAGTACATTTGAAAAGATAGTGGATATAAGTCATTAAGGAATGATACACTTAATTACAGATAATATACAATTAAGATTAACTTTACAAGTAAATATTACTCAAGTTAGAATTATGTTTATACCAATATTTTAGCATTTGCACTCTTGAAGATAACATAGTTTTACTTAATCCTCATCATTAGAGAGCAGAATGTTTAACTAATATTTATTCATGCTAACTTACTACGTGATTTTTTTATTCATTTCTATTCTACCACATTTTCCTTGTACAGCCATATTTGGCAAAGCTCTTCAAAGGAATGGTACTTATAAGGAAATTACAACTGTAATGTACCTAGATGTACCAATATTTGGTCCATAATAATTTTTCCATATTTCTGACCCGCATCATCCCAGTGACTCAGCAAGGGGAAGGGGGGGGGGTATAATCCCAAAGTCTGGGGTTTTATCCCTGCAGTGCATGCAACATAGATAGCCCATTGGACAGCTTCATGCTTAACAACAAGATCATCTCCTGGCCAGGTGTGTCCTAATGGGTAGTGTGCTCAGACTGTGAGGGTTTATGGTTTGCAGCCCATATCTCAAATCCTACAATTTGATCAGACAACAGTAGCCTAAGAGTTGGAGGTAAGTGTTGTTGACTAGTTATCTTCCCCATAGTCTATCAGTTCGAAATTAAAAATATCTATGCACAGATATCCTTTGTGTACCTTTGCACAAAAATCAAAAGCAAACAAATACAATCCTGAACCGTAATTTAATATCAGTTGAATTTCAAAAACATTCTATGTTTTTATAGGTTTTAAATAAATTTGTTTTATTTATTACAATGCTTTTTTGCTCATTGGGATAAGTTATGAAATTATTGATATTCAGTGCTCTTAATGAAAATCATTGATTTAAAAAGATTACATCCTGTAAGTAATTCAACAGTTTTTCATTAAAGATCAATATTCAATTTTTACAATGCACCTCCATTTCAAAATACCATTACTTTCTTTATTTACATATAAACTAATCATTAATATATTTAAATTGCATTTGTTTCTAAATTTAATTATTGAATGTAATTAAATTGGCATACATTAAATAAATATATGGAAAACATGTACATATAATCAGACAAGAGGCTTCCTCATAAACTCATATTTAGTAAATGGAATCAATCATACACACCTTTGTTCAACATATTACTTATCCACTTTGAAACATTTCAGAAAAACGTTTCTTTCCCAGCCAAAATACATTAATTGTTTATATACTGCTTTAAAAACTTTTCATATCAATTTCTTTAATTTCTAACCCACATTTTGCAATATTAGTGCCTGCAAGTAAAAGATAGTGCAATATACATATATTTATGCTTCAAGAAAATCATTACTAAATAACAAAACAATTTGTCAAATAATTACAACATTTTTAATAACAAAAATAAACATCAAGGAATGGGTACACTGTAAAAGTAATAGCCCATAAGTAATAAACTTCACAATATATTTTATACTATTTATATACAGTAATAGGAGATTCTTGATGAAACAAAGTGGAAGAAGAAATAAGTTATTCTGTACAAGTGCAATAAATATACAAGAGGTAACAAAAGTTAAACTTATATAGAACATAGTTTGCTAAGCTACAAGCATAGATATAACCCAGAACATATACAACAACACAGACTGAACAGGCATAGAAGGTGTAAATTAGACTGATTACAAAAATCTACCCTCTAAATAAGTACACTAGAAAGACTGAGACAATGACATAGAAAAAGACATAGAAATGCAATTAGTACTTTTTAAGGGGTAGTTGAGGGGAGGCAATATATTCTTTCTCAGGAACCCCAATGGGCTAGTACTACTCCTTGGTTGTTTACTAAAGTATTTATGTTGAGAATGTAGTTTATGTAAATGTTTCATTCCGTACTACCAATTCTGAGAATATACAAGTACAATATAGAGGCTCTATACAAGGTAACTTGTGTAAGTGATGTGAACTAAGTACATAGCACTTGATGAAACTAAACATCACGTGATAAACTACACATTATATTTTATACTACTTACATGTAACAATAGATTCTTGAGCAGAGTGGAAGACAAGTTAGAAGAATCATGCATACATACACACATAGAAGATGCAGAGAAAACTAAGTCTGATTTGGACAGAAGTTAGACTACACATGTAAAGAATACATCCTATATAGTTTCATAACGTGTAAACTGAAATATATATTTATAGGCTATACCTAAACCTGTAATTTTAGAAGCCAAATCAAAGGTTATGAATTGAATACCTACCTGTACAAAATACACAAGAACTGAACATCCCTGCTATAATGCTGCATAGGCCAGATCCAGCACCTAGCTCCAGTACATGATGCTCATTTAATATCTTGTGGCCATAACATAGAAGATAGTCACTTAATAATAATGCTCCACTCCAAACCTGTGTATAAATATAAACAACATATACATGTTGGAAATACCCGAGAAATTCTTTATTTGTTTCTGAATTTTACTCAGTGTGCATAGGAGCATTAAAATAAAACAGGGAGAAAATTTTGCCTGATACCATGTTTCACAGTAAGCCCCAAATTTGTCGACTCAACAAATGTATGATCTAAAATGACTGCTAAGTTTACCTAATAAAGAATGATATCAAAGAATCATAAAAATACAAAGTTAACAAAAAAGTGTGATCCATCAGAATAGTAATCTGTATGCAAAGAAAGTTTTATACAATTCAACAATCTCTTGCCTGCCTGGTCTGTAAGGATGATAAGCTTTATGTAAAGAGAGATTTATACAACTCTAAACCTGAATTGACTTGATGATTTGTCTGGATGGTAAGCTGTATGTAAAGAAAACTTTTACATAAATCTAAACCTTACTTGACTTCATGGTCTGTCAGGATGATAATCTATACATAAAACATTTATTTACGTAAATCTTTTCCCTAATTTGATGTGAGAATGATAAACTGTGTGCAAACACACTTTTATATAAATCTAAACCTTACTTGACTTCATGGTCTGTCAGGATGATAATCTATACATAAAACATTTATTTACGTAAATCTATTACCTAATTTGATATGAGAATGATAAACTGTGTGTAAACAAACTTTTATATAAATCTAAAACCTCACTTCATGTCATCATGTATCAAGAATGTAAGAGATAAAGTTCTTTCATATAGACAAAATTTGAATATACTGACCTAATTTATCAAAATGGTGATCTACATATATACGTAATACTATGTAGATCTTGAATCATAGACTATTATAATACTGACCTAAGTGTAAAAATATTCCTTGCATACTCATGTATCAGAAGATTATCTTGGATTTGATATACGTGTAACTCTACTTGTTGTAATGTGCTACGAAGGTGACTTAAGTATTATTATTGTATAAATAAATACATCTATAACCTCAATTTTTATGAGGTGTCACAAAAGCCCTAAACAATGTAACATGTTGTTTCAAAGACAATCTAAATAAAAAATGTTGTCAGCTTACCTGCAATCCCACAAGATCTAATGGTGTGCACAGAAAGTGATCTGAATGGACAAAAAACAAACACATTGCTTAATACATGTCACACTTTAAACAATATATGTTTTATTTGTTTATATATGTCTATTTAATATATGTTTATGCATCTCCCAGAAATAACCACCCTTAGATACAATTTCATTCAGGATATGAAGATACTATTCAGAACATCATATTAAAAGGTGAGTTTCATCTTTCCTTTCTTTTACCAAACTTTTTCTTGTTTTATCACATACTATGTTAAAGTTGCAGCTATCAGATATCAATGGTATAGGCTAATAACCATGACAAAGTTAACATTTTTCTTACCTGAAAATGTATTTCAGATAAATACCTCTCTTCACAACAAAAGGCTATTAGCTCGCATCACTGCTGTAAATATTTTTGTAAATGCCACAAGCCTTGAAATGAAGCTCCCACCCCTACACATATTAATGTGTAATGTGCCAGCCTATGATATAATCATCATTAGACTAGCCCTCCACCAATAGGAGGGAAACACATCCTCCATGTGCAGTAATCCCCATGAGCACTATCATTGAAGCATAGGCTTACTCTTGAAAGGGCGAAAAAAAAAAAACACCAGAAGTGGGAAGGAAGGATGAGATATGCAGAGCAGATAAAGAAAATATTAACTTTATAAATGTATACTTATCGCCCTGGACAAAAACAAACAAACTAGAATATCACACTGATAATTAGGTGGAAGGGCTGGTAGAAATAGAGAAACTACAAAAGCAAGCTCCTTTCTGAAATCATAGTATCAGAAAGAGAAAACCCATGGAGATGTCATCCACTGGGGGGGGGGGTAGTCTAGTGAGACTAACTTGGTGCAGGGAATACTCTTCATCCAATAAAAGTGATACAGCAAAAGATATTGTCAAAATAACCTTCTGTGTGGTGCTAGTGTTATATATGTGGGTGTAATGTAAGATTCCTTAACTGGATATTATCTTTCAGGTAGTTGGCTGAGCGGAACTGTGTAGTGTATCTAGGGCCATAAGACAGGCCATTCTGCATAGGAGAAATATTTGCAAAATATTCAGGTGCAGGGAAAAAACATCCCAGTCCTGCATCCTAAGAAGAATGCAAGATCTATCTGGCTGGTTTAATCACCAGGAATGGCTTGGTTTGTAGTAGTATAACCTGTACTATACTTTCAGCTAACACCCCAGCCCTACTTACTCATCAAGAATTGCATTTGCTTGGTCTCATAACAGGCTGTACAGGACAAAGGAGACAATTTGAGTTGGAATGATCGTAGAGAGAAGAAGAGGAAGGGAGGTTGAATGAATGAAACATCCAATCACCCTTCTGAGCAGGCTAGTTTTAGAGAGGAAGGAATGGTCAGGGAAGATTAACCTGTCCCTATGGCAAATAGTTCAGGAGGCATCCAAAGCAAAAGGGTGAGAATGATGGCTCCCACAAGCAAGAAGGAGATGAAAATATGTCTGAAGCATATAAAAAGAAATTGAACTACACCAGACACAGAACTTCCTCTGCCAGATCTGTAATGTCTGTTGAGTCTAGGATTAGAGACCTAAAGAGTGGAAGCTAGGTGTTGAGAGGAATCAGAAAGGCAGCAATGATAAGACTCCCATAGTAGGAGCAAATCCACTAAAAACACCAGAGAAGGATCCAGTCTAGGGAAGATAGTTGATTTACCACCAGAACCTAAGCTTCTAAAAAATGGTAATCTGATAGTTGAACATGGTAGTTGTAGGCCCAAAAGCAAAAGTGTAGAGCAAGGAAAATATAGGTCCAAAGAAGGTGTGCCTTCCTGTGGACGTAAGAAATGAATGATGAGGTGTTTGAATTGATAATGATAAAAATACTAGAAAGAAGAGACAGAGGGTTATGGAAAACTTGCAGCCAACATCTCAAAGATGTAGATATAGGAAAATCAGTCATCTGGAGACCAAATGCCAGAAATGCACCCAACCTGAACAGAAGCATTGGTTGACATATTTTGTTTGGTTGTCATCGAGTAAAAAGCTACACAATGCTACCTGTACTGCACTCACCATGGGTATGAAAATCTGCCCTGAGAGCTTCTAAATATGTAACTCTGGGTGAAGTGGGTGAAGAGGGGATGTCCTGGGTTATGTGAGATTGTGTGAGAGGTGAAAAGAAGATTGTGGATCTCCAGATGTACTTGCACCAATTGGCCAGATTCCAGTGAAAGGAATGTGTCCATGATGGATGAGCCCAAGAGGATTAAGGGAATAAAAAGAAGGTATATACCCCCCCCAAAAAAAAAAGAAAAAGAGACAAATTTTCTTGTGCAGGAAATTTAGGAGACATGAGAGCCTTGGTAGCAAAAACTTCATGTCTAAAAGATACAAGAATTGAGAAAGACCCCCAAGTAAATGATATACAATGTGGGGGTCAAAACTGAATTAGAGAGCCAAACCTACCACCCCAAACAAAGAAAGGCAGTAGCAACAGTGAAATCCATTGGATTGGGCAAGTAGTGGTCAAACATCCTTAGAGAAGTGAAACAACAGGCCTCAAGAATGTAACCTCTCAGCAAAAGCTCACTAGACTAAATGGAAACATATGGCCAACTTGAAGGGACAGGCTGTGAACTGAATGTTCAAACATTGCAGATGAACTAAAGGAAACAAAAGGTTAGCATAAAAATCAGGATAAAGAGAAAGCATTTGAGACATCAATTCAGGTTATCAACAACCCGAGAAAGTACTCACCCACTTAAAGAGTGTGAAAATCTTTCACCTAGAACTAAGGACAAACCAAAGATGGTTCAAGTGAAACAGATCTATGACAGGACACAAAAAAATAGGAGTAAAACCAAAGAGTAGGATTGAGGAAGCACTTAAGTAACCCAGTAATATGCAGCAAAGAGAGTCAACAAGTGTACAAAGTGGTATAGATGAACTCCCACTGGACAGGAACTGAGAGACAGCTCCAGAAACAAATTGCTTCAAAGGCCTGTAACAGCCAGGAGGGGGAACTTGGATAATAAAAAGATGAATAGCAACAGGAGAGGAAGTGACTTCACAAGAATGTAGAGGATGAGACCTGATGGGACCCCATAATCCAAAAAGGCAAGAAAGCAAAGTTAGCAGGAATGAATGCTAAGGAGCTACATCAGCTCAAGATTCCAAAGTATAAGAAACACCTCTCAAAACCTCATCATAAATAAAGGGTGCAACATAGAGATCCCTGAGAGAAAATTGAGGAAGATTAATGTCAGAAAGTAATGCAATCCAATGAAGTACATCCCAGAGACAAAGAAACCAAGTTAACTGGGACACAGTAGTTGAAGAAGAAAAACTGAGAGCAAGATGAGAAATAGGAACGTGCAAGTTTCCCAGTAAAGCTGACAAGATCATGATGAGAAGCCTCTAAAAGAAGGTGAAGTGTAGACAGATAGCAAAGAATCTATGTAAGTAAGAAATAAATATGTATAGATGGAGTGAGAGAAAGAGAAAGAAAGGAGATCTCTAAGCTAAAAGAAAAGACTCAAGCGATGGAATTTCATGCTACAAGGTAGCCCAGATTTAGCAAAAACAACCGGAGAAAGAGAAAAACAAAAGACATATACTTATGTAATCCAAGCAGTAAATGACAAAGATGGAATTACCAGATTCTCTTCAAGAAGGGGGAACTAGAAGCAAAAAGCAGGTGTGGAAACAACATTGATGAAACTCATCAAGAAATGAGAAAGGATCTGCTGAAGTGTGGATCCAAGATCAAAATGGAACTAATCACCCAGTGCATAATGGTGGTAACATCACACCATCAGAGTGCCTCTGTACACCATTACATTATTGGATGATTGCTGTTGAGGAGTTCAAGACTTCAGCAGATAGCAAAAACATGGAAACATGAATTTGTAATCCACATGATTCACAAAACCAATTTTTTTCTTAGAAATAAAAATTTGCTGGTATGTTATGGTGCATAGGCTTAGTGATAACACAATAAACCCTTACAACTGGTTAAAACAACAGGACAATTACAAATTTGATTAAAAGTGAAAGTCAAATTGAAGATAATTTGAATCAAAGTTCTAACTGAAATGTTTAAAACTTGATATATTTCTTTCTCATAATCAAGAAAATTAAAGAATGACAGACTACACAACAAAGAGAAATGAAAGTTGAAATAATAAGTGCAAAAATTATGTTAATTCCTAATTAAAAAGCATATTTGAATAAAGCAGTGCTGAGGAAAGAATGGGTATTTGTCAATGCTAGTACTCATGAAAATTACAGCACATGGAGGATTTGTCACTCTGCTATTAGTGGAGGACAAAAGTTAATATGTGTAGAGGTGGGAGCTTTGTTAATGGCAGTGGCATGAGGTAATAGCACGAGGATATACACAAATAAATCTTAGCTTGTTGCAAGTGGGCAAATTAAACAAATTCAGTATTTCTTGTCAATATTTGCTTTAAATACAAAAATAGAAGATGCCTTTTAAATTTGTTGCTTGTTCTGCTCATGCAAGTAGACTAACATATCAATCTACACTTCCTGCAAGCACAACTGAGCTACTGGTATACAAGTTCACTAAACCTAATGCTGGTGTTATTATATGCTTCATGGTATAAAGAAACACCTTCCAAACAATCTTCTTGCTTGTCCTATTGCTTAACTTAATATATGCAGTCAACTGAGACTTCTGGCATGGTCTATGATATCAGTAGACAAGTTCAGCACACCCAATGCCGAGGCCTTTGCCAAACAAACTTTTTGCTATGTGGCCTAGTGATTATGTAAATATAAATTAACTGTTAGTTTAGATTTTCTACGTTATCTATGATACAAGTACAGAAATTAAGAAAACTCAATATTTCATCTTAGTATTTGCTACATGTACTGAATAATGCCCTGTAGAATTGAGCTTGTTACCAGCTTGTACAGTGTTTAAGAAAATATGTTCTACAGGTTAATGTAAACTTTCTGCATGATCTGTGGCACAAGCACAGAAAACTCAATGCCTATAGACAGGTTTATAAACTTAATGCTTCTTAAAACAACATATGTTATAATTACAGAAGCCTTATATTAACTCAAATTTGTTGCTTGACTTGCCCTTTAAATAAACAAAAACTACAAATTGACCTAGACATGAAATGAGCTGTTTGATCTATTGCTGTAACAGAATGATTTAAAAAATAACAAATTATTCACTCTGTAGACCTGAACCTACTATAAAGTTTCTAAATTTAGTAAACACGATTTTTAACTCTATGTATCCATGTTAATTTGTTTACAGTAAAAGTACACACTTTATGCAAACTAAAACTTGGTCCACTGTTCATGTATTATTAATGAAAACTCTCACTTAATGTAACTCTTTCAAGACAGTCATCACCCTCACCAGTGGTCAATTTTAAAGGTTGTCTGGTTGTTCATGAAAACGTAATATCCTATCAAGCAACTACTAATAGTAGCCTGAGTTGTCCATTGGACAACCTCAAAAATTCACTTTAGTGTAGGGTCTTTCAGCAGGGCTTAAAATCTATAGGTACATGTACAGGGTCAAGTGCACATGTTATAACCTTTTTACAGAGTTACATTTAAAATTTAATTAAACAATTTTATTATTAATACAATAATAAACTTTGCATCAAACCATAGTTGATAATTCAAATTTTAATACTATACAATTTTTGAGTATTTAATTCAAAAGAAAGTATTTAAAAAAATTTTGAAATATTTATTCTTGAGTGTCACATGCATGTCTGCACTCTTTAAAGCACATTTTAAAATGTTCTTTCCACCCCTGAAAGAACTTCCAAGTTTAAAATAACTTACACACTTGTAGTTTAGACTTTGCTAAAGCAGGATTTCATTTTTATAAAATCCAATGTAATAACTTGATTGAAATATAAACCATAAAGTTGAATGCACTTGTCATGCCCTCCTATCACAAACAATTTTTATCGACAATATCAAAAATTCTCTTTGATGTATGCTCCTGGATTATTCATAATGGATAGTATGTTTTAAAAGTTTTGAATTCATTACAAGGCTAGATGTTCTCTTGATATTATACAAGCTATTTTTGCACTAATTTCCTTCTGGCTGTTAATGAAATCCCATTGACAAGCAAAAGAAATTGTTATAAGTAAGTTATAGTTTAGTTAGAAAGCCAGTAAAATTATGATAGTTATAGGTCATTATATTTTTTTATGCATATTATAATTTTGTATTCTAAGCTGCATATGTGAAATAAATAAGAATTGAGTAATGTACTAACAAAATTCTCCCTAAAAAGAAGGGTTAACTTTTATACAGACTTTGATGGCAAAAAGTACAGGAGTCACACATAAGTACTAAATTTATTTTTATGTATATTTTTTTTATGTATCATTATAAATATAACTAAAATGTAAAAATTAGGAACTTATTAGGTGAGATAAAAAAAATCAAGTCAAAACATGTGATAGCACAATCAAGCAGAAGCACCTGTTGCAAATTTAACATAGTTGTAAATTGATTGCATTTGTTTGTAACTTGATGGCATTGTTACTCAAAACTTTACTAGTTGTGGTAATTAACTTTCACATAAATCTAAGGGGCTTTAAAGCAATAAATCTAAATGACAAGGAGATTTAAATTGTTTTAGCTTTTTCTGTCACAATGAGCAGTCATTACAGAAAGAAAAAATAGAAGAGTAATTTAGATTTATTTTGTATTTTGTCAGGTAACCTTTCCATTTATCAACACATTTATGGTAAAGAAGTTGATTAGCAGTGTATGACTGAGTGAGTTCAAATAAAAAATATTCTATACTGTACTAGTGTCTTTATTGTATGTTTTGTGAACATCCTAGATCATGCACTTATTTCCAACTGAAAAATTCCTTAAAATTGACAACTTCTCACTAGAAATATACAAAGTATAACAGATACTAAACTGAGCTGAACACATACTTAATAACATTACTTCCTTTTCATCTGACTCTTCTCTTTTAACAAGTAAGTCACCATCATCATCATATGATAGCTCTTTCCGTTCCAGTGCATTATCATTGTACTGCTGCATCCCTGGGAGTTTAAAGACAAAGTGTGACTGTACCACTGTGGAAAAAAATATAAAATTTAAAATATTTTAAAACTTGTTACAAGTGTGGCAACTTTACACGTTCTTGTAAGAATTTTTGTTTTGTGCTTTACAAGTTGGATTTTTAAGAAATTGGTAAGAAAGTCAAGATATGGTCTGCTGTTGAAAAATTTATAAAGGAGCGATAAACAAATAATTTTCTAATTGGAAGAATGTAGATAATAGTCTCTGAGGTTTCGTTTTTGGACTTTTCTGTATATTATTAATGTCACTGATTCATACAGTTTTTTTGGACAGAAATATTTCAAAATTCAGTAACAATCATAATATATTAGAAAAAAGCTGATATTGTTGAAAATGTTTCTTGTCCTCAAAAGATTACAAGTTTTAATAACCAAAAAAGAATGTAGAAAATAAGCTTGAAAAGTACAAAGTGATAGACTCAGAATGTGAAAGTTCAAAAGAATATACTTGTAGTGAAAGAAAACATTAGTGATATGGAAAAACTGATGAATTTAAAGGGAAATGTTTTTTAAAACTTTGAACTGATATTTTACCTGTGGTGAAAAATTAAAACAAAGAGAGATCTGAGATATATTTATATGGATTTTGGATTTATAAAAATTACTCTAACCTTTTATAAGATCCTGGTGAGGTCTTATTTCAAGCACTTTCTATATTTTTGGTCCTTTTATTACAATAAAAATTACATGTTCTAATGAGTGCAGATGAAGAACCTTGGAATTCTATGAAATGTGAATTGTACAAAAGGTTTGAAGATGTTAACTTATTTTCTCTGGAGCAAGTAAGAAATAGAAGTAACTTGAGTTAGGTATTTAAAATTGTTAGGAGCTTAGATAGTCTGTATGTGTAGCCTGAGTGTTGGAATAAAAATGTTGAAAATGATAATTTACATAATAGGATTAATAATTTTAAGCACTGGAATCCTTATTGTTTGGCAATATTATTCATTTGCAAGAGATATACATGTAGGAATGGAATGCTTGATGATATGACACATGTTGTTAGTTTAAGTTCACTTAAATTTGGTTGGATTGGTGTGGAGTGGAGGAGGTAATCTTGATGGGCTGATCAGATATCTATCAATTTTGTTTCTTATATTGATGTCCTTACAATAATTTTTTTTTTATATCAAATTAAATTTTCATCCAAAACATTTTTATTTTCACATGTACCTTTCAGCTGACTCTTGACTTCATCACTTGCTGTAACACATGCCACTATTGATACAAGTTTGTCTTGTGGTCGGTTATCAGAATAAAGATGAACATCAGACAATACAAGCTCATCAGCTTTCATCTATGGATAAGTAAACTTAATATTAATTTTCTGAACTGACAAAAATTATGAACTTATCTTTAGTATGGTATGTTTATTTCTTTTAATGCCTAAACAACTTCAATGTATTCATGCTAACCAGATCCAGTAGTAAGCATAACAAACAAATTATCCAATGATTACTGTATGAACTAAAACAATTCTTAGGTTCTAAGTTGATGGTACCATTATTTTTGTTGCTTTTCAAATGTGTTTCAATGCTTTGTTTATACAATAACAAGACTGTTTAAAGTTCATCAATACACAAAACTATTCAGGAAAAATATAAAATGTAATTCAATACAAGAAATACAATAACCCGAGGGTTTTCAAAACTATCTTCCTAAAGCATTCAGATTATCAGGTTTGGTTTTGGTATTTATGTATTGTTTTAGCCTATATGTTCCCTTAATATCATAAGTGTAATAAGGAATAACACTGATGTTAAAATTATTTTTTTTGTAATATTTTGTGAAATATGTCTTAACACAAGTCAGTGATATGAGTTTAGGACAACAGAGCATATACAAAACCTACAAATGACAATATATTTAAAAATACATGTTAAACCCAAGGAATACTCATGTAGCAAAGATAATTCATTATCCTACAAGTATTCATAGTTAATTCATGTTCATTGTTTTCACTGTCATACATTATTATCATATAGCTTATTTTCAATAAAAACATGGTACAAATTGCAGAATCATTAAAGACAAAAATGGAGAAAGTCGTTTTAACAAGCACAGTATTTCTTAATTATTGAATTATAACTTATTAATATTTATTTAAGGAAGCTTTCAATATTTTAACAAAAGCAGTATTCCCATAGATGTACCACTGGAAGAACCAAGAAGAATGAAACATACACGACCATTATTTAACAAAATATACAGGTAATAGTTAACTATAGCTAAACATCATATGGATCTTTAAATACCTGTATTTTGACCTTATGAAAAAGTGATTTACTGCTGTATTGCTATATAAGAAAAACTTGTTAATTTACTGCATTCATAACTTTGAAACATTTGTAAAAAAATAAAATACCAAGTGCATTTCATACAAGTTATAGAATAGTGTATATATGATATACCATAATGTTTAATGCATGACAGAGTGACACATAACAATTATTAATAGCGAGTAAGTTAATTCTTATCAAGCCTTGAAAGGTACATGAAGCTGGTGCTTAACTGCAGCTTAGGAGAATAGTGCTACATTTCCCAAAAGGTGAGATGGTTGTACATCAAAGGTCAATCCCTGGCCACATACTGGTACCCATTATACAGCTGGGTAGACTGAATCAATCAAGGTAAACTGCTCTGCTCAATGACAAACATTTTAGAAGCAAGTCTTGAACCATCAACCTTTTTTACTAATAGCCTGAAACATTAACCAAAATTCTATGTATGTATTCTAACGACAATGTCTACTTGAGAGATTGGAAACACTGCTGAAGATAAATAGTGTGTGTTCTTTATAGCAAAGCCACATTGGGCTACCTGCTGCATTCACCGAGAGGAATCAAACCCCTGATTTTAGCATTGTAAATCTGAAGACTTACTGCTGTCCCACTGGTGGACTGAAGTTGAATAGGGCTCCAATGCAAACTACGACTCTCAACTTTAATAGCTACTTACAGTCATTCTTTCAAAAAGTCTATGTAGTTATAGTTGGTTTTTCTGTTGTTTAAATATTATATATACTGATATTTTTTGCAACGCAATGATGAAAGAACTGTGAAAAAAGAAACTGCTAGTTCTTAGGGATGCCATTTTCACAATTATAAATATCACAACTTACAATGTAGCCATTTCCATGTGCTAAAGGAAAAAAGTCATTACAATGGCTGAATACAAATCCTACCTTTGCTCAACATGTGAAATTAAAAATGCTGCCAAATTCAAATAGGGCATCAATGCAAACTACGACTCCCAACTTCAACAATGAATGGCTCTGTGAAGAATTTGGGATTTATGCAGTACTTAAATGCCACTTCATTTATGATTAATTCAGATGAACAACTTGAGTATAATAAATAAATTTATAACACAAATAGTAGTTTTCTGAAAATGCATTCATCACCACCCGCTGCCCTGGCTACATTATCTTATTAGTATTAATACTGGTAGTAAATTAAAGACCAAGAATTATGGCCACAAATTTTCACAACACTCACTGATAATGTAAAACACTAAGCTCACTTCATATCATTTTCTCTAAACTTTAGATGAATCTTCTACAAAATTATGTGTATCTAAACTTAAGTAACAACTACAAGTAGTTCTCTCCTGTAAACTTTATATATTGAACTTTGACTCCCTGTGAATTTTATAAGCTTACTTACATGAAAAACATATCTTGTTTTATTTAATATTTCTTAGATGACATTGATAAAAAGTTATAATACATTCAATTAGACTAAACAATACAAGGCAACAAAAGTGTTTAGGACAGTAACATATATCATAAAAAATACTTAAAAAAATATAAAGCGTTTAGTTACACAAGAAAAAAACAGTATTTAAGTATTAGAATTACTGCTGAAGTAATAATAATGAAGTTTATATCAAAGTTGTAAACATTTTCACAAAGTAGTATCTTGATATTCTTTAGACAAATAGCTATGACCAACTTAGAATTTAAACTGCAAACTTATTTACATATTTCTTTAATATTAAAAGGCAAACAATTTCTTTCAAAAGGTCTATGTAGTTGTAGTTAGTTTTTCTGTTGTTTGGGTATCACTTAGACTGATATTTCTTTGCAATGCAACGATGAAAGAACTAATTCCAAATGGTTTTTCCCATTATCCACTTGTAATTCCATGATGATAATGGAAGAGTTGCACAAAAATGAAATACTTTAGGTAACTAAATGCAATTTTATGTACAATATTATTTTCTACTTTATTAATAATTAATGTTTGATTTCTATGTGAAGGTGGTTCATGTTTACTACATTCTCAGTTAAGTTTTCTACTATTCTACATCATACTATGTTATACTGTCATACTTATAGTATTGGGTGTACACGAAACGCACACGTGTGTATCATAATATTAATACTAATAATAAGTACATGCACCTTTATCAAAAAGCAATAGAATAAAGAAAGGGGTAAAATGTCAATACACACAACATTCGTGTTTTACATATGTATATATATATATATATATATATATATATATATCACTTCTTAACTCCATCAGAATTTATATTTGATATTGAACGTTTACAGGTTTACCACCTTTTGAATTTTTCAAAATCTGTACATGCTTATACGCGCGCAGTCGGAAGTTGAATCCGACAAGAGTTCTGCTGATCGTGTCAGCGATGATTCACTGCAAGCGACCTTACTATTGAAAAGGAAGTTGCCAGTTCTTATGGGCGCCATTTTCACAATTATAAATATTCCATCCTACAGTGTAGCCATATTCACGTGCAAAAAGGAAAAGGCCACTGTAATGGATGTATACGAATCCTATTTTTTGTTCAACTCAGGAGACCGGAAATACTGCTAAAGATGAAATGGGCACTTATGCAAACAATGAGTATGACTCCCAACGTCAACAGTGATGAAGAGTTCAAGATTTATGCAGTACTTAAATACTACTTTATTTCTGACTAATTCAGATGAACAACTCAAGTATAATAATACAAAAAAAAGTAGTTTTTGAAAATACGTTCGTCACTCGGGCTGTCTTGCCTATATTATCATATTAGTTAACCTACCATATGCCGATGATGTTATGGGTGTGCTCGGGTTAATTCGAAGTTGTGACAGATACAGAATTATGATTCAAGTATCCCATACACTCCGACGCTAAACTTATACACTCTTTTTCTTTTTACTTTCAGTTGGAATGTAATGTAAATAACATCAAATGAAAATTCTATGTTGAATTATTGCATCTAAATTATTAGTCTTAACATAAAATTGTTATTTTTCAACAGATATATTATATATATATTTTTTTATGACTTATTTTTACAACACTTTTTTTTTAGATTTTCAAACAGGTGTCTTTTTTATTTTTAGACCAACAGGTATTATTTGCAGCGTATTTGATTTTGGTTAAACATTTTACAAGCAAAGTGCCAGTATAATAATTGTGTATCTTTCTGTTGGACTTCCTATCCAAAATGTACTGTCGAATTCTTAGGGTCATTGATAACACAGGCCTGCGAATTTAAACTTCATAAAAGTCGTTTTGATTTTTAACGGATTTTCATAATTCAGCTACGCAGATTTCGAAAATAATATTCATTCTTTGCTATCACGTAAGGATTTTTTTTACAAATCGGGAAAGAAAAAACTTTTACTTAGATCAAATTACTATTTCGTTTACCACAATGAATATTTTTATTTAATGTTTATTAAC